CTAACCATTAAGCTGCTTTGCTCCATACAGTAAACATGTGTACATTGGGAGGCCATCCAGAGTGAGAGACTGGACAAAACACACAGTGAAGAAGAAATTTAGGACTGCCTGATGGGTGCAAGAGTGGTTAGGCCTGAGGCTAGAGCACATTGCTGGCTGGGTATTGATCTGAAGACAAGGGAAAACATAAAAAAAGGAGGGAACAGGAAAGGTCAGGATTTTGGAGGGAAACTGAAGGTGAAGGTCAGTGTTGGATACATGTCAAGTCAGGCAGCAGCGATGAGAAACCTAAGCAAAAGCATTTGGGTAAAGGATTCAGAGACTGAAACATGAAATTCAATCACATATGGGCAACAGCGGGAACGAGAAATAACACAGAAGTGAATGTGCTAGCTCTGTGCTTTGGTTCTTTTCCAAGCAAGCTTGTCAGGCCAGGGACTAGAGTGAGGACTATAAAGCCCCATGGCCCTTGCCCATTCATCCTTCATCTCTCATTCATTGCATAATCTAGTTCTCTGTAGAGTATGTGAAATATATCTGTGTTGCATATATGACATGATCTTAACTGTCCAAGTACCTTCCCTGGCTGCAGGAACCAACAATTTTGAACATTCTCATATAAACCTTTTCTTTTTTTCTTTTTTTAAAGACTTCATTTCTTTTTAAGTAATCTCCATACCAAACATGGGGCTTGAACCCACAGCCCCAAGATCTTTGATCGAGAGTCGCACACTCCACCTACTGAGCCAGGCATAGAAACTTTTTTTATGATCAATTTCCTAGGAAATTGTCAGCCAGTGTTTGTGGAAGTAGGTTGGTTGTTTTTTTTGTTTTTTAAGATAAAGCCTGGTCCAAAATCTAGCCTAGTTTGATCCTAGCTGAATTATTTACTGTAGTATCCTCTTAGCATTAAGGAAGACTCATTTAATACATGTGAGTGATATCTCAAAGAATCCATAAGAAGGGGAGCAGGTTTTGCCATCCCAAAATATGCCACTTGGGCATGAGGGTTATTTTGAGTTAAAGGCCATCAAGACACAGCAAACTCAAGAAAAGACTTTTACCTCTCCCTTCACTACCTAAATGAATTTAGGTAGGGGCCCTGGCCCAGAAAGAAATCTATTACTTGAGATAACTCTGCATCTGAAAGTCCTGACTATATGGTAGAGCAAACAACTAATTACCAAACATGGGCTCTTCTTACTGTCCTGTGAATGACCCGCCTCCCCTTTGAAGCCCCAGGTCCCTGTGCCATTCCTTAGCTCTGGACAGCACATAAGCCTCAACTGCCTGACCTGTCCTTGAATCTCGTATCTCTGGGGCTCCTGTATGTATGAAATTAAATGTTTTTCTCCTGTTAATCTGTCTTATGTCAATTTAATTATTAGACCAGCCGAAGAACCCAGAAAGGAAGAAAGGAAAGGTTTTCTACCCTAACACATACCACCCATTGGAGGGCTCGGACATCATTTTTATTACACCAACAGTATGAGCAAAAGGTAACGGTGGAGGAAAAAGTGCTTAAGTAAGTGCTTAACTTGCACAAAGGTGTGTCCTGGCAAGTCTACTTGTCAGAAGAACTGATAATTGTGGTCTGCAAGGTCTGTATGCATCAAATACTTTAACACAGGTCTTTCAGGAGGTTTTAAAAATGAAAGACTTTGAAGGCCTGTAAGATAAGGGATTTATGAATAAATGGCAGAAAAATATGATTAGATGTGACATCTCCCAGTTCCTTCTCTGAGCTTTACTCTTCTGAGTGATAGAGCAATTCATCTGATAATTACATAATTGCTAACATGACAATAACTTGACTCTTTCAGGAACTCTATGATCAAAGACCATAACTATAAGCCTACCATGTGCTGTGCCTTGACCTTCTGAACCGTGCAGGCCTGGGGAGCTTGCAGTTATGCCACCTGTTAACCCAAGTCCTTTCTTTTTCCCTAAGATGATTGGGATAGACCGTTCCCCAGGATTATAAGCTTCTCAAGGGCAGGAGATTGCATGCCTTGTTGCTTTTGTGAGTTGATGACTCACTCATTTCCTGAAGCTCCCTTGGAAGGAAGGCACACACTGACTTTAAAAGGGACTTTTGGAGTACATAACCTCGAAGAACACTTTTTGGCTTCTTAATGCTTTTATTTTACTAAAAACAAAATGCTCTCTCAGTAGAAATACATATTTAAAAACCATTGTGGATTTAAGCATTAATGACTGCTCCAACACTGGCCACAATTTTCTTCTTCATGTTTATGGAATTCGACAGTATTGGGAAAGTTTTTCAAACAATTTCCTTTATTCTTCAATCATTTATTTTTGTAGTACTGGAGGCTTCTGTAGCTATGGGCAACTTAACCTTAGGCCACGCATACTAAAAATAGCCTGGGGGTGTTTGACCCTTCCTGGCTGTGTGCCTATCTGTAAGAACAGAGCTTTAGTAGTTTATCCTCCTTAGATACAATTCATTTTCCTTCTTTTCTCTTTATGATGGTATAGGGGCCAAGGGCAGGCCACCCCAAGACAGGCCACTTTGTCATGAAGATTATTCTGAGCTGAAGGCAACTGAGACCCTATGGGCTCAAGAGAAACTTTTGCCCTTCCCTTAACTACATATAAGACTTGAAATTGAGGGTCTTATCCAGAATAAAGGTTATTAGCAGAGTGGCAGGGTAAACATCTAATTACCAAACATCTGTTCTTATCATCTTGTGAATTACATTCTTTGCCTCTAAAGTCCCAAACCCCTACCCCCTTCTCCTTAGTTCAGGATGACATATATGCCTCATTTTGCCTGACTGTCTTTGGAATTTCCATGTCTGTGTGGATTCCCCACACGGACACTATTAAATTTGATTTTCTCCTGTTAATCTGTCTCATGTCAATTTGATTCTTAACTCAGGTAGAAAGACCCTTAAGGGGTCCCTGACAAGCAATACTTAACTGTTACTCCTCCCTGTCCTAAAAAGAAATAAGTGTTGTCCAAGTGAACAGATTTTTATATGTGCCCTGTATCTTCTCCGCACTCTTTCCCTTCTTGAGAAATAATTCAGACTCTTTAATTAGAGCATATTCAAAAGAGTGACCAGGATGGTGGAAGTACTGTATCCTCAGAAAGGAAGAAGGAATAAAAGAAGCTAGGCAAGTTGAATCTAGGGAAATAAAGACTCAGAAAGACCGTGGTGATGGTCAACAAACTTTTGATGGGCTGTTTTGGGAAACAGAGATTAAAAGTGTAGAACTGGGGTCAAGGGGTAGACAGTGAAACAGGGATGCTTTCTAACAGTTAGGTTTTTCCAGAGATAGAACTAGCTTCCTTGAGAGGGAATATGATCCAGTGTAAGGATCACTTAGGAACACGTTATGGAAGGGTTCAATTACACAACATTAAGTTGCTTCCAACCCTGGCAAGCTATTTCTGTCCTTTCATAATATTTCTATTCTCAATTCCTTCATTGACTATATATGTTAAGCTACAGAAAGAAACAATCATTGCTACCTGTCCTTACTTTTCCCCTTCCCAAAGGTAGACTATTTTAATATTGTAGTCTCCTGACAACAGAGGTGTCTGTTTTAATAGCTTTCAGTAGCATTATTCAAAGGGAATCTATTGCCCAATAAAGTGGGGGGGGGGCAGTCTTCAATGTTCTCTTTCTTTTTCAAACTCAAAGCGTCTAGGATTAAACATGTGCTTTGAAATTAAAATCATTATAAATTTGCTGAGTAAGAGAACACCAAATATACTTGTTCCCAAAGCTGGAAAGTTTTCACTTAGCATAATGTAGGAAAAAAACCACTTTTCTTTGTAATGTACATGAAAAATTTCTGCAATGAATGCATGGTTCCAAGTTCACAACTGTCTTGTTAAAAAAGAAAAACAAGCCCAAGCTGGAGTCATTTGCCTCCCCTCCGCAACAGCAGACCAAGACTTAATTACAGTTTTGACCTATCTCAGGAATGTGACCTTTTAAAAAGTCAATCTGAAATTTCCCCCATCAGCACAAGTGAGTTCATCTGCATGATAAAAAAAAAAACAAAAAAACCTGCCTTTTCGTGTCATCCACCCCCAAACAAAGTGTCCAGGCTTGAATCCTTTCTTTCTTTTGTTAATAACTTCTTGCCCCACCCTCTTTCCCATAAAAACCTTCCATTTTGAGCAACTGCTCAGAGCTGCCCGATTCATGAGTCATTTACTAAAGCCAATTAGATTTTCAAATTTACTCAGTCGAATTTTTTTAATAGTCTCTAATTTGAAACAATTCAATATATATATTTATACATGTTTTAACCCTGTGCCTACCATGTTGGGGTTGCTGTGGAATCATTTAGTGCAGCAGATATGGTACTCAACAACAATCTATCTTCCTTGAATTATTACTAATGAATAATAATTGAATGATAGTTTGTTAATGACTAATTAATAAATCACTGTTAATCTTGGGAAGATACTACACATGTAAAAGTTATCCAAGGCAGAAAAAACTGTCAAGAAGTACTGCCATGGGGAATTCCTCAGACATAATTCTTACACTAAAGGAAGAACCTTCAAATAAAGAACACAATCTTTGACTTAAAATTTCCTGTAATTTTTTATTGGTTTGTCAATTTCCAACAATAATAAATAGCATTTAACTTCCTTTCTCTTGCATACAGGCTCTGTGCCAAGCTCTTCACATTTCTTGTCTTCTTTCATCCTTAAAACACACTGAAGAGTTGCCACCATTGTTCCCCCATTGGCTAGTATCAGGAAACTGAAGCTTAGGGAAGTGAGATGCCACCCCCAAGATTTGGGGGAAAGCCCAACAAGGGATCCATATTTTACTCTAGAGCCTGAGCTAGTCACGCATCCACCGTGTTATCCACCGTGATGGCCCTAACACTATTGTGCTTATTTTGTTTAGGGTAAACTGATGTAGAAAAACACAACATTTTTTTGGTTCCCAATTCTTTCCCTCCCATTACAGGTTCAGGACTACTCAAGCTTAGAAGGTGACACTCACCCCGTTTGTGAAGGAGAACGCTGGCATGCCGACGTCCATTTCCATTTTCAACGTAACAGGAGTAATTTCCCAAGTCACCTTCTTCTACAGAGTCCACAATTAATGAGATGGAAACTTCCTGTTCCCCGAGATGCTCCTTGAGAATTCTAAAATATAAACCAAAACGAAACAAAAAACCCCACACAAACACACACAGACATGAAAAAGAAAAAAAGAAATTAGATGAATCTGAATCTGAGGTGAAAATACCTACAGCATCTGTGCTTCAAATTTGGCTATGGATTGATGCTATCTTAATTAAATTATATCATGCCCTTTTCCTCTTCATTTCTAATGAGGAAGCTTGTTTTTGGAGATGCTAATGAAGTTGCAGTTAATTATCTCTCTCAGCAGGACAATCACACTGTCATAATAAAGAGATGAGAAAGACCTTGAAGAAAAGTTTACAAACTGCTTTCCCTTTAAGGAATATGATATAGTAAAGGTGAGAGAGAAGAAATCCTAATGTCTTAAGCTGGGAGACTAATTATATAGATCAGGTTAGTTTTTTGTTCTTTTTTTTTTTTTTTAAGGAAAAATAGAAAATTTCGGAGCAATTTTGACATTTCAGTTGAAAGCTCCAGCCCATTTTTTTTTAAATGATACAAATCAAGTGCCTATTTTAAAAGAAATATGAAATTATAAACCCGTAGACTAAATGTTTTGATGAAGTGTTTAATTCTGACATTAAAATGAATGGTAAACACTAACCTCACTGTCAAAGGTTTTCGTAATCTTTTAGAGCAAATGGAAAACCTCGAAGTGAGTCTCTCTTTCCCTGCTTCCCACCTCCACCCTTCCATCTGTTTGGTAACTCATGTCTGCACAATACTTCCTAATGTAGAATTAAAGAAATACACCTTTCTAGACCCTTTCTTCAGCACCCACAAAAAGAGGGGGAAAGTTAGGAAGTTTATTGTCCTCTTTTAACTTTAACATCTTAAAGTATATGGTTAAAAGATAACAGTGAGGGACGCCTGGGTGGCTCAGTCGTTAAGCGTCTGCCTTCGGGGTCCTGAATTCGAGCCCCGCATTGGGCTCCCTGCTCCACAGGAAGCCTGCTTCTCCCTCTCCCACTCCCCCTGCTTGTGTTTCCTCTCTCATTGTGTCTCTGTCAAATAAATAAATAAAATCTTTTTTTTTTAAAAAAAGATAATAGTGAAGTTATAAATATGAAAAATGGTACAGGAACGTTTTAGTACATATTGGAGAATTGTCCATCTGGGCATTTCTGAACCCAACTGGAGTGCAATATTCTTGTGTATTTGTTGCCAGGAAGAAGATCCCAATAGAAATAACCTTATATGACAGTTTTATATGTTTTTATTTGCTATTGCAAAACTTTTTCACTTGTACCTTTGATCAGGTTTTAAAAGTCCTCACATTTAGGAAGAGGAACTTTAGCTTAAATGCTCATATATACCCAGAAGATGTGACCTTTAGATAGGAGAATGTTTACACATGATCAGCATTTTGATTCAATTACAACTTAATTATTATTTATGTGCTTGCTTACTTATACTATAATTAAAGATGAGTATCTCTGTCCAAGCATAAGTTCAGTTATAATTGAATACCTCAGTACTTAAAAGTAAATGAATAAGTTTTTTTTTAAAAGAGGTTTAAACATTATGCCCTCAAAACAGACAGTATTTTTTAATGGCTATTCTTTATCATTCCCACAATATTAATATTTAGACCTTAAAGTAGGACTAAAAAAGACAATGAAAACATTTTGTGTATCTTTATCATTCCTATCAAGTGCTTTATAGTCTACTTGATGGCTCAAACATGTAAAAATATATAAAAGGAAAAGACAGAGATTGTGTTTGGTTGAGTCCTAGTACCTTGCTAATACTTCTTGACAATTTTCTTTCTTTTTTTTTTTTTAAAGATTTTATTTATTTGTGACAGAGAGAGAGACAGCGAGAGAGAGAGCATAAGCAGGGGGAGTGGGAGAGGGAGAAGCAGGTTTCCGGCCAAGCAGGGAGCCCGATGCGGGGCTCAATCCCAGGACCCTGGGATCATGACCCGAGCCGAAGGCAGACGCCTAACGACTGAGCCACCCAGGCGCCCCTCTTCTTGACAATTTTCTAAAAAAGAGCTCTTATAAACAAAAGGCACAATATCACATTTTCCACATTTGATGGTATTTTGGTCTGTCTCATACTCAGTTTATTTCTTAGTGAAAAACTCCTTTCTATTTCCCTTAAATTCTTTGCAAATGGCATTCATGTTTTGCAATTCCATAGTCAGTCTCTTAACAGTGTTTTGCTTCTCGGCGATTCAATGTTGAGATATTTTTATTATAATAGTAACCCCCCCAAAAAACAAGAAAAAAACCTTTATTTTCCTTTAGCTTACTTTCCGTTCACTAACACAGCAAATGTTAACTTGACTGTACAAGTTAAAAGAAAAAAAATTATTTTACCTAATGTCACTTTCCCAAACTCGATTTTCATCCAGATCTTCAATAAACTTCTCTCCTTTCATCCAGTAAATTAAAGGACTGACATCTCCACTGTACCCAAAGAAAGCTCTGCAGGTTAGATTAGCTGAGTCGCCTACAGAGAGAAGTGATGGAAATGTGTTATAAAACTACTTGTACACTCTTCTTTTAGGCAAACCGGCAGGTAACATTTTAATCACTTCATTGATTTAATAAAACATTTACCTAAAATGTTTTTTCAGCTATTTTCAATTTCTGTCAAATTTATAGACTGTGCTTTTGACAGCTTGTTTAACGAAATAGGAGTTACTTATAAGATTTTGAAGAAGACTGGTCAGCTATTTTAGAGAAGGTTCTTCCAGTTATGCTTGCCTCATGTGTTTACGCGATTAGATTTAGGTTATGAATTACTGGGAATGATACCACAGAGGTGATGTGCCCTTCTCAAAGTATGATATCAGAGGGTATATGATGTTAGTAATTACAAGATTTCACAGGGCAGGTAGAAGATGTTTCTCAGTCCTGAATGTGGGAAATTGAAAGGAAACAAAATCTTTGGATGGGAAACAGAAGGAACTGTAAATCCAGGAGCCCCTAAAAATGTTATTAAAACATTTTCACTGTATATGGAATAATGTTCTAATTAAGGAAACCAACATATGCTCAGGTAGAAACGCACATTTTAAAAAAACAAATGAAGAACTCATGAGAATAAATATTTGGGATTTTTATTAGATGTAAAATCAATGATGCTACTGTGGAGATTAGTTTCTTTCAGCAGGCTCCTCAGGAGAGACCACTGTAATGATGAAGACAGATTGGTCGATTAATAAGGTAAGTGGAGTCCCTGACTAAAAGGCAGAAGTTAATTTAATGCCTGTGAAAGTAAGGTTTATTTCTGGACAGTTAGGCCATTTTGCAAACACCTGGTTTCCCCAAGCCTTAGCCAGCATTAGAGAACTGAAATACTCCAGTACAATCTAGTTTTAAGATCCTGGTGCCTCCAAGTGGAGTCAGAAAATGGACGATGAGATGGGGAGCCGTAAGGGCCTACTCCAGCTTGGACTGGGGCAAGGAAACTCTTAGGGTATGTAGCGTGCCAAGGGCAAGCTGCCCCAAGATGGGCAACTTTGGCATACTGATTATTTTAAATAAAAATTACTTAAAAGACAGCCCATACAAGGAGATTCAGACCCTCCTCTGTCTCCGTGAAAGCACAAAATGAATCTCCCATGTCAAAGGTACCCTCCCTGTACCAGAAAGTAAAGAAGACACCCTTATCATCAGAGACAGAGAATTTAGAGCTGAGAAGGCTGTAAAAACAACCCTTGTTTACTTTTTACCAATGTTTGACTGCAGCCCGAATCTGTTTAGAATTCCTAACTGAAGCTCTCAGAATTAAGTTTTCTTTGTCCTGTCAATTTCTCACAGATTTATTGCATCTTTGTCTAAAAAGCCTAAAAACTGCCTGCCTTGGTCATTTCTTTAGGAATCAATTTCATTATTGGGCCTCCATGAGTGCATAATAAAACTTTGGGTTTTTTTCTCCTGTAAATCTGTCTCATGCCAATTCCTAGTCCTGCAGGAAGACTTTGAGTGGTAGAGGAAGAATTTTTCCTTCCCCTCAGGTACTTTAAGAGGGGCTGAAAACTGAGCCCCAGTGACACCTTTGTTGGCATCTGAAGCAAGCAGATTTTCTCAATTTCACAAATTCTTGAGAAGATTCTAAAGGACCCGACAACTAAATGACCTTAAGGTGCAAAGAAGGAGCGTCCTAAAGACTGGAAACCTCAGAGCTAAGCTATGAGTCAATAGTGAGTATCTCCTGAAATTGTGCTTATGAGTGATTGCATGAGTATACCTACTTGCAATGACATATCTGATAAAGGGTTATATCCAAAATATATAAAGAACTTATAAAACTCAGTACCCCAAAACAAATAATCCAATTAAAAAATGGGCAGAAGACATGAATAGACATTTTTTCAAAGAAGACATCCAGATGGCCAACAGACACATGAAAAGATGCTCAACATCACTCATCATCAGGGAAAGACAAATCCAAACTACAATGAGATATCCCCTCACACCTGTCAGAACGGCTAAAATTAACAACACAAGAAACAAGAGTTATTGGCATGGATGTGGAGAAAGGGGAACCGTCTTGCACTGTCGTTGGGAATGCAAACTGATGCAGCCACTGTGGAAAACAGTCTGGAGGTTCCTCACAAAGTTAAAAATAGAAATACCAGCAATTGCACCACTAGGTGTTTACCCAAAGAATACAAAATACTAACTCGAAGGGATACATGCACCCCAGTGTTGCCACTGACTGATGAATGGATAAAGAATATGTAGTGCATATATATATATATATATAAAAGAGTATTACTCAGCTATAAAAGAATGACATCTTGCCATATGCAATCACATGGATGGAGTTAGAGTATTATGCTAAGCAAAATAAGTCAGTCAGAGAAACACAAATACCATATGATTTCACTCATATGTGGAATTTAAGAAAGGAAACAAACAATCATGGTGGAAAAAAGACAGTGGTAAACCAAGAAACAGACTCTTAACTCTAGAGAACAAACTGATGGTTACCAGAGGGGAGGGAGTGGGGGGTTGGGTGAAACAGGTGATGAGGATTAAGGAGGGCACTTGTGATGAGCACCGGGTGATGTATGGGGGTGCTGAATCACTATATTGTACACCTGATACTAATATAACACTGTATGTTAACTAACTGGAATTCAAATAAAAACTTAAAAAAAATAAATTCTATTCTCCAAGTTCTACAATAAACATTTTATTGGATAAAATTGATATCATTATCTTAACTATATCCATTGCGTAAAAACAATTCATAAATTCTCACTCATCTAATATTTCTAAGATGGCATGATATAGCTTTCTCCTTTTATCTCTGTTTATGTCTGCATGTTCTCCAAGTAAGTGATTCCTCATGGATTTTGGTCCTATATACAATAGTCATCATTAGTGACAAGATATGCAAAATCCAGAAAATGTCTACAAGCTTTTACGAGGCAAAATTGAGCTCTAAGTAGGTTCCTTTATTATTATTTTTTGTATATAAATATTTTCTAAATATTTTAATATGTAATCTCCCCCTTCCTGGGAGACTATTTGCATTACAAAACAGATAAACTGAATGCCAATCTTATTGACTGGAAATTAACTGTGGATTTCTATGGGAAGTGTCAACCCAATGTTACAAAACAATTTTAAATCTAATATTCTTTGCTTTTACCTTTTTATAAGAGGGCCAGCTTTTATGCAACTGAACTACCTGTTGCAGTGTCAAGGTAGTCATGTATTCAACAGTAAATCTCAAAATACTAGCTGGTGTGATGATTAACATCACATACCAACAGAATGAACACACATTACAGAGTTTTAAATTTTTATATCTCAATAATTCACATAATCTGTCTTTTAAGAGATCAAGTTTTAGTTTTTAGGTGGGAGTTAGTGACAATACCTTGGGATCACGTAAGGAATAGTCACTGCGAAGCTTGGATTATTTCCACATAATTTCTTAAAAGGTGATAGCAGTGACTATAGATCACTATGCTCTTTATCAATACGATAGGAAACCTTTCAAGGCGGAGATTAAATAGAAAGCCTGATAAGGTGGAAAACATATTTTTTACTTTTATAATTTACACGCATCAGTATGTGTGTAGGGGGAAGAGTGAGAGAGAGAGACAGAGAGTGAGAGACAGAGAGAGGGTTAGGTTGGGGAGTTGTCAGCTGCCTCTCAGTGTAATCAGGATAGAAAGTCAACTTGAGCAGAGCTCTGTTCTGTGAAGAGATTTTTGAGTGGTTTCTCTCAATTATACCTACTTGTGTGGCTGCACAAAAGGAGACCATGCCCCTTCTTAAGCACAGCCATGCTAGCAGGAAAGGACAGCAGAAACCCAGTGGAGTCAGTCCTGAGAGAAGTGCCAGGTAAAGTCTGGCTCACACCTGAGACTACCCAAGTGCCTAAGTGTTGGGGAGAAAAGCTGTGTCTACCCAGTAAGTACTGGCTAATCACATGAGTGTCAGGGAACTGTGACTTTGGACCCCAAGTGTGTATTACCTGTGTTTGAAAGCAGGAATGAAGAACTATCATCCCTTCCTATCAGGTCAAAGAAGAACTGAGAGGTGATGGAAATTCCTGGGGCAGGGTGGGACCTGGGTAGAGAGGATGCGCTTCCACCCAATAAGGGCAGATGGAAATTAATAAGGGCAGATAAGAAAATTAGGAAAACAGAATGGGGAGATTTTATTTAGGGAATTAGGCAGTTAGGAAATAGGAATTAAGAAATTCAAAATGATATGACTGTGTTTATACCTTGGGCTGATGAAGCAGGACATGTCAGTTACATAATAGGTTTTTAGCATCTGAGTTCTAGGAGCAGTCCATCCATGATTCATTTCACATTCTCATGCTTTTTAACGTTATATTCTTTGCTTTAAATTTTTCTCATTTCCATTTCTTCCAAAAAAATGACTTGGCTTTTCTAAAGAAATAGTCATTCTGTCTTTTCTCCTCCCACAGCCCTCGGACATATCTGTATTTTATCATAATATATTCCTTACAATATATGGTTTGTTTGCATGCCTAACCCAGCAACTAGAGTATTTATTCCCCAGAGGCAGAAATTATATGTGTATTTACCTTTGTATATTACTAGGACCCATTACAGTGGCTTGAATGTGTTAGGAACTCAATAAATACTTTCAAAAATAACCTGCTTATTATCTCTTGTACTTGCATTTTCCCTTGGTTCCTTTTTTTCAAAGCTTCATTAATTAAAGGTTACATGTCTACAGCCTATCTCAACAGGCCAAGTCTGTCTCGTAAACTAGCCTTCAACATTGTAAATGCAGAGCCTCATTCAGATGTTATTTCACTTGTAGGCTGGAGCCGGTTCATACCAGCTTATAGGAGTCAATTACTACAGTTTTCAGAAATTCTGTAAGCAGGTTGTTAAACACAGTCATTATTAAAAAGCAAATTATAGAAACTTACAATGAACTATACTGTATTTTTTAAAAAGATTTTATTTATTTGAGAGAGAGAGAAAGAGAGAGAGAGAGAGC